AGGTTTTTAATATAAGCTTTATTTATATTTATGTTGTAGAAATCATGTTCTATTTTATGATTAATTATTGTAATAATATGTCTCTGTTAAGAACTATGTTCGACTAATTCCATGAGATAATGGTATGTAACATAATCTAACCGAAGGGATTCAAAAACCTATTGGTATTAATATTTATAAACTTATTTCCTGGTTTTGGTTTCTAATTAAATTAATAAAATTGTTTTTGTTACGGGAGTAAAAGACAACAAAGATTGAAATCAATACAAAGAGAGTTTGAGATTTTTAAACAGATAGCAGTAACTGAACATTGACTCTAAATACAGCAAGAGCGCTTTAGGATCAATTAGATTTTATTGGTTTCCAAAAGTGTTTTTAAATTCAAATGAGACAGCGAGAGAAAACATTTATATTTAAGAATGTATTCTAAGTCCATAAATACGAGAGTGTGAGATAAGGATTTTTAAACTAATATTTTCTACTGAAAAGTGTTTTTGAGAAAAATAAAACCAACGGTTAGTCGGATCCCTGAAGTCAGACAAATTACATACTGGTATCCCTTATTTCGCATATTTTATTAAACTTGAATTTACTCCCTATTTCCCTCAAAAATCTAAGATTAATTTTCAGCCTTAGATTACATAGTAACACTATATATCATTAGTTTGATTAACAGTCCTTGTGGGTTCGATATCTTTTTAAAACTACACGATTAGACTGTGCGCTTGCAGTCAGTAATTCCGAGAGACTCATAAAGTCGTGGTCAGAGAGAATAATAAAAAATAGAAAGAAGTGGTATCCCCTGTGAAGCCAGCTGAAAATAAGACTAGATCAGTGATAAAGTTGGTGTATCCCTCTCGAGTGGCAAAGAAGGACACAAAAGAGAAAGAGTTTGATAAATTTGTTAAATTGTTTAAAAAGTTCAACATATCGTTCTTTGAAGCACTCGAGAAAATTCCCTTGTACCAGAAATTCATGAAGGAGGTACTTGCAAAAAAGAGACCAACAGAAGATGGACAGGTACCCGTTGATGAGAAATTATGCACAATCACGCTCGAAAGGAAAATCCCTATCAAGCAGAAGGATTTGGGGTAAGTCACAATACCGTGCATAATAAAAGACATAAAATTCAAGATGGTTCTAATAGATTCTAGTTCTAGTGTGAGCTTAATGCCCTTGTCTATTTTAAAAAAAGCTTGGCATTGAAAAGATAAGCGAGAGTGGGACAAAATTAAAATTTGTTGATCACACCATCAAGCAGTCATACACGATAGAGGAAGATGTGTTGGTGGAAGTTGACAAATTTGTCTTTCCCATTGATTTCCAGATCATAGATATCACTAAATATGAAGAGACTCCTATCATTCTTGGTCGATCATTTCTACTGACTAGTCAGTGCAATTTTAATATCGAGACAGGTAATCTAACATTAAAATTATTTGATGAAGAGATAACCTTGAAAGTGTTGGAGATCAAGAAGCAGGGTACAGGTGGAAAGAAATAACCTTCAGTTGGAATGATCAAAGTAGAAGGAGAAAGAAAATTTTCAAAATCACTCCCAGAAGAAGTCTTAGGCATAATCTCTCAGGTGGCATCAACAAAAATTCTCAACTTCAGTCAGGAAGTCCAAAAGAAAAAGAAGAAGGAACGAAAAGGTGAGGAGATGAAAGTTGGCAGTAACTGGAAGTGAAAATTAGTTCACACTTTGGATATAGAGGAGTTCTGAGTTACGGACAGGACAATCAACAAAGTGTGGAAGAAGAAGCACCCCCTATAATAAAGGGGATGAACCATCGAGCCAAGTGACATTAAACGAAGCGTTTCATGGGAGGCAACCCACGCGTTTTATTGCTAATGACTTTCTTTGTTTTTGGTTAAGTTTTTTTTGTAAGTTGTGTTTAGGTTTACAAAGTGCCCGATACGGGGAATAGGAGGTGAAATTTGAGCAAGCATTAGGGAATAAAGCTGTGTCGGGAGAAGCGAGAAAATTTGGAAAAAGAGGGAAATTTTTTGAAGAGAAATCAGATCCCTGACACTGTCATCCGTGTCAGCTGACATGACCCGTGTCAGCTTGCCTGAAGCGTGCGCAAGAAAAATAATTATTTAATTAGATTATAGATCCCTGACACGGCCAACCGTGTGGACCGAAACGGTCCGTGTTAGGGTTGCAAGTGAATTTTTTAAAATTTTGTTTTGCATCTTGTGGTACCATTGTTCTCCTCCTTTGTTGCGAGGCGCTATGATTCCCCCTCTATATCTTGTACTACAACAGTGAGGTCACTGTTTGGTTCAAGTGTGTGTGGGGAGGGGGCTTATTGTTTTCAGTATTTTTGTTTCTGTTATTTCATTTTTGTGTCGTTTATTTTTTACTTTGATATGGATATGTTTTGTATTTCGTGTGTTACAGATCACAGATATTTGTGTCGGATGAATGACGAGTGTGGTAGTCAATGGATGAAAAGACACAACCCATACTTGTTCTCTAGAAAACCCCTCGAAAGTTGGTACTGTTTAGTTGAATGATTGGATGCGACTTTCTGATACTTGAGTGATACGGGAGTACTGTGCACCTGAGACTGAGACGAAGCTACATTATACTAAAGGTATTTTGGAACCTGTGAGCTATACCAAACATGGTGAGGATCATAAGAAGCAAAACACAATATCATCATGAGAGTTCTTCAGATATGTCATTGTCATTCTTAGTTTGCTAAGTATTTGTTGGAATTTCTTCGCACACGTATACACACAGAGTCACTTGTTTGTTTTTAACCCCGAGCCTTTACAGCCAGCCATTTCATGTTATCCTTTGTTAACTCCACCCGATCCTTGTACCCTTTTGTTTGTTTGTTAACTGCATAATTTAACCATGAGCCTAAACACTCCCTCACCCTACTTAGATAAGTGTTGTTGATTTCTGACCTGTGAAAAATCTTAAGCTTGGGGTTGGGACACCGGGAAAAAATGAGGTAAGTGCAATAAAAAGAAGAAGAAAACTTGAAGAATATGATGAGAAAAAATTGGGGAAAAAAGAGAAAATAAGTGAGAAGTACAATAAAGCACTTACCTAGAGGAGAATTTAATCTGAAAATAAAGTTTCGAAAAAAGCAATGCTCAAAGAAACACTTGAATAGGAACTAAAGAATTCTAAGAGAACGATGTCTAGTACTTGTGATTGTGAACAGTGCAAACAACACAATGATGAAAGTAGCAACACTGACTCTAAGTCAAAAACCACTCGTTTTCCCTTTTGTTTGTTCATACCAGACCATAAATGTTCATCCGGAAAATTCCTATTACTAATGATTGATGATGAGGAACCTACTGAACATGAATCCTTGGATAATAGTGATATCATTTCCCCACCAGCTGAACCAGATGTCACTTATTTCCAACTCACACCACAAGCAGTAAGTGACCATTTTTCCTTAAGACTCTAAAGTTCAATGGATTACTTCATGGCCTGACTGTTACTGTTTTAATTGATACCGAAAGTACCCATACATCCTTCAACCATGCATTGCCCAACATTTGAAACTCCCAACCAAACCCATACCCAATTTTTCTGTCATGGTTGTAAATGGCTCTAAGTTATCATGTTCAGGAATCTGTCCCCAAGTTATCACATTGCAAAACCATCTATTTACTATTCTTTTTCATTTAATCCCTATTGAAGGTGTTGATATCGTCCTGAAAATGGAATGGTTACGTACCCTTGGTCCACTACTTGTTGATTTCTCAATCCCAAAGATTTCCTTCACTTACCAAAACACATAAATTACCATAAAAGGTGACCCCAAAATTCTCCCCACCCACTCTTCCTACAACCAAATTTGCCACCTCATCCATACCGACTCAATTGCTTCCATTCACCTCCTACTCTACCAACCTTCCAATAACAACCATATTGAATCCTCCCAATCCCAACCAAATTTCCTTGACTTCTTACCCACAACTCTACGAAACCAAATGACATCCATTCTAATCTCATATGCCGCTATTTTCGAATATCCTGGTGGACTTCCCCCATCCAAATCACATGACCACAAGATCCCAATTATTCCTAACATTGCACCCGTTAACATTAAATCGTATAAATATCCACACTAAAAAAAAAAGCTATGACAACAATTATTCATGGCTTGATGTTTTAGGGTATCATAAAACCCAATAACAACCCTTATTCCTCTCATGTTGTTGGTTCGAAAAAAATATGGTTCATGGCATTTTGTGTGAATTATTCTGTCCTAAACACGGTCACTGTCCGAAATTGAACTCTTTGATGAATTGGGTTTAACAACTAAAGTTTCTAAAATTGATCTAAGTCTGGTTATCACCAAATCAGAGTAGCACCAGAGCACAAAACTGCATTCAGAGCGTTTAATGGGCACAACGAGCTGTTAAGTATCCCCTTTGGTCTAACTAATGCTCCTAGTTCTTTTCAGCGGCAATTAATGATTTGCTTTGTCCCCATTTACAACGGTTTATTTTAGTCTTCTTTGATGATATTTTAATTTACAGCTCTTACCTTGCAAAACATGCTACTCATTTTATAGTTGATTTTAGAGTTACTCTTATCTAACAAATTCTATGCAGAGTTGTCCCAATGTGTTTTTGATGTTCCTACTGTAGATTATTTAGGTCATATTATCTCAAGAAAATGTGTGACCCCAGATTCAGAAAAGATTCAAGCGATGATCAACTGGCCTAGGCCATGCTCTCTTACGACTCTCTTTGGTTTTTTAGGCCTCAACGGCTTTTATCGATGATTTGTTCGTCATTACACCGGAGTACATTGATAGCTTTTACAACATTGAAAAACAAAATGACAGAAACCCCAGTTTTAAGCCTCCCAGATTTTTCCCAGCTCTTCGTCCTCTTGTTGGTGTTGTTTTATATCTCAACAAGGCCATCCCTTAGATTTCTTTAGCAAGAAACTCTGCAACCGTCTTCAAGCCTCCTTGGTGTAAAGAAATGGCTCCTTAGACGCGAAAACAGAGATGTGCGCCATTACCGAATCTGTAAAGAAATGGCTCCTTAGACGCGAAAACAGAGATTGTTAATCGTTGCTTAGAAACATATTTACCTTGCTTTACCAGTGAACAACCAAAAAAATGGTTCGAGTACTTACATCTTTCAGAACAGTGGCATAACCCCGCCCTTCACAACTCCATCAACATGTCCCCCTTTGAAGCTTTATATGGCCGCCCCCACCATTTTTCCTTCCTTACAGTTCTTGATCTTCATCGTTGGCAGATGTGGATACATCCCTACAACAGAGACACAAATTGCCTAACATCTTAAAACGCAACTTAGCACGAAGCAGAAAATCAATGGAACTTCAAAGCAACAACAAACGAAGTGATATTACCTTTGCTGAGAGCGATTTCATTTTACTTCGTCGTCAGCCATACCATCAGTCTTCAATACACCTTCGTGTCTCTAACAAGCTCTCCAAGCGATATTACGGTCCCTTCAAGATCCTTCACAGGATAGGACAAGTTCCTTACCACCTTGATCTTCCTCCTTCATCAAAGATCCATCCCGTTTTCCATGTCTCGCAACTACGAACTTTTCATGGCTCCATGATTCCTGAACCACGAGAGGACTTACAACAGAATACAAGCGCACAACCTTTTGTGTTGGATGAACAAAGAAAAGAAGGGCAGAGAAACAAAGTACTCGAAAGCTTTGAGAAACTTTATTTGAAGAAAGAAGAAAGAAGGAACTCGGTTGTGAGAACCGATGAACCGAAAGAGATGACTGATGAGTTAAATGACTTACACTTCCAAAGTGACAAGTCTTTAACCCATGCTTTTGGGGAACATAAATCTTGAAATACTCTTAAAATCTCCAACGGATACACAAGTTCCCTTTCTACACCGCATGATGGCTAGACAAGGCCTTACACTGCCAATTAGTCCAACCCACTAGGATTTTTGCTGTATTTAAAGCTATTGATAGCATCGTGAAAGAGAAGACAAGATTTAAGAATTTATTATCTTCTCCATTTCTTCGTGTTTTATGCTTATCCTTTGGTGACTCTTAAATCTAAATATAGTTGTTGAAAACTCTTATTTCTAATCTTCATTGTGCAGAATGTGGTGATATATTTAGAAATATTAATGATACTTGTTCCGTTTGTTAAGATAAAAGAAAACATACAAGACAAAATTAGATGTGACAAACATGAAAAGTATATTTATATTTCAAAAGATAAATAAATATACATCAAGTTAGCTTCAATTAGAAACACCAAGAAGCAACCTCAAAGAAAAAATAAAAACAAGTACCAACACAAAATAATCTTTAAACAATCCAAACTAGAAATCAAAACCACCAGCATCAAAGCCATCATCATATCCAGCATCATATGCACCAGCATCAGAAACCATATCACCAATTAACATCCCACCTAATGCACCTCCAAGCAACCCTGCTCCCAAACCCATTCCGAATTTATTCTTTTTAGGTTTCTGTGCCCCTGGATATCCATAACCCGGTTGCTGCTGCGGTGGATACCCATAACCCGGTTGCTGCTGCGGTGGATACCCATAACCCGGTTGTTGGGGTGGTGGATATCCGTAACCCGGTTGTTGTTGTTGTTGTTGTGGTGGATACCCATATCCAGCTTGTTGCGGTGGAGGATATCCATATCCAGCTTGTTGCGGTGGAGGATACCCATATCCAGCTTGTTGCGGTGGAGGATACGGTGTACCGTACGGAACAGAACTAGACCCCGCCGCCACTCCCGGTGGAGGATAAGCCATCACTGGTTCCGATTCATGTTTCCCTTTCACCTTTTCATTTTTCACCTCTGACTTCATCGCCGGAGCCCCGACATGTTCCCCGAATTTGTAGGAAAGATTCAACGTCCCCTTCGATTTCCCCGAGGTTGTTCTAACCTGATAACCAACCTGCCTTAAAGAATCACCGGAAGGGTTATCAAGAAGTTCCTTGAGAGATATATGAACGGTACCGATCACAGTATCTCCGACGGCGCGATCGGAGATGAGTTTGATTTCAAGAGAGAGACGATTCTGATTAGCAAGAGATTCGTTGACAGTGAATTTGACAGAAAAATTCCAGGTAGGGTTTTTTCCGCCGTTGCGGTGGATATGAGTGGTGGCGGTTTGAGGATTGATAGGATCGCCGGTGATTGAAACGACGGCGTATACGTCCATCTTGGAGAAGAGATTAACATCTTTGAGATCTTTTGCAGAAATTATGTTGAGTTCTAGTGTTCTATATTCCATAGTCATTAACCGATCAAAGAGACTTAGACTTTTGTTGTTAGGATTTGATGAATGATTTGTCTGTATAATCGAATGTAACATAAGGTATTTATATTTGAGAAAATAATTATACAAGAAACTTCCTGGCAAGTACTATTTCACGCGTAAAACAACGTTACGAAACTATTTTTTATTTTAGTTTGTTATATATATATATATATATATATATATATATATATATATATATATATATATATATATATATATATATATATATATATATATATATATATATATATATATATATAATATCTTGTTTCTTTGGATGACGGCTCTGTATTTTTTTAATTTTTTTTTGGAAACCGTTTTATATTTATCTATTTGATTTATTTGATGCTACAGGTTGGTGTATTTGTTTTATATGAATTAAAATTTGGATGAATTGATATGCTAATTATGGGAAAAGTCAACTATACTATAAATTTGTAAAATTTAATATTGTAAAACAAAAATTTAAATATTGAAACTATTAAATGTTTAAAATGAATATTATTAAAAATATATAGAATTAATTAATTAGTTATGTGTCATCATATTTATCTATTTGATTTGAAACTATGACAATTAAATTATTAAGTTAATTTTTTTAAATTAATAGTATAAATGAAAATTTGGTTAGAGGTATAAATTTGCTAGATGTTTGTTGTTAGGATTAGAATTTTTTATCTATAACTATATAAAAAAAAATTAGAGATTTTGGACTGGCCTTTATTTTTTTCAAAATTACTTTTTTATTTTTAATAAATAATAAAATATTATTACTTAAAATTTGAATGGTTGATAATTTACGTTAGTTATTATTTATTGAAAGTAATTTAGTGTGAAATGCGTGTCTTTGCATATGTATATGTATTATTGCGTGACAATATATATATATATATATATATATATATATATATATATATATATATATATATATATATATATATATATATATATATATATATATATATATATATATAAAAGTTATTTTTTTATTTAAAGTAAAATGAAAAAATATTTATTTATAGTAATTTATTTATATATTATAAAAAAATAAGTTAAAATAAAAATAGAAATATAAAAAAAGAAAATATATTATATAATAATTAAATGAAAATCATTTTGATTTTATTATATTAACATAATTGAATAATACTTATATTAATAATATATCTATAAATAAAATTAATATATAAAATTGAACAAAATGATTAATATTTATTTTATCATTGATAAAAAATATTTTATAAAACAAACACTAATAATATTAAATTATTATCGACGCTTCTTCTGGTATTGGTCGTGACTTATGTCTTGTTCTTGCTCTAGCTGATTGTCGTTTTATCTTGGCAGCTCGTCGGATAGACCGATTTCACTTCGTCTGCAACGAAATCAATGAATAGTTACTGTCACATGAAAACCGTCGCTAAATTGTAAGAGGGATCAAAAGTTAAAATTTAATTTTTTAGAAGAACTATTCTTTGAAGGAAAATTTTAGAGGGATTAAAAACGAAATTTGAGATATTTAGAGGGACCAAAAACTTATTTAACCATATTAATTAATAACATAGTATTTGTAAATATTTGTTTTAATTGTATAGATAAAAATTAGTAATATAAATAAATATTTGCCCGTGTTTTAATTCATATATTATATTAAATATATTTAGTTTTATTTTCTTTAACTGTATAAAAAAATATAATAACTAATGAGTTCGCACAAATTCCGATCTGAATACTCGTGCGTTTTTAAAGGTAGTGTCGGGGGATGAACAATATTATTGATGTAAAAATAGCATTTTTCTATCATCTATAAAAAGGTTTAATGGTGTAACAATAACATTTTTCTATCATCTATGTTAATTTTTAGTACTTAAGTAATTTATAGTAGAAACTCCAAATTTCAATACTTATATAGAATTACATTTTTAGGTATGCTTTGATCCCAACGTCTAAAGATAGATTAACCTGTTACGAGGATTTAGATATGAGAATATGTTAATCTCAAAATCTTAAGTTTGTGTATATAATTATACACTAAAATGACACGAATTTCAAAATTATATTTATATTTTTAAAAAAATTATTAAAAAAAATATTGAAATCAATATGTTAATGTTAATGTTAAAACATCATTTATATCTTAAGATCATCAAAATTGAGAGATAGTTTAGTTAAAGTAATTTAATGTTAATGAAAGATTCCAACCTTACTGTCAAGTGGTCTTTACAACATTGTAACTATTTACAATGAAGGAAAACTCAGACAAATGAAATATAAATGCCAAAATATTAACCAACCTGTGTCTAGAAATTCACAATATTAGCTTACCATGTTGTTCACACGAAATATATGAACAAAGTACACAGTAGAAATATACTAAAATAAATAATCCAGAAGCACAACTTAAGAATGATTTGAATGTGTGTGTGGTGAAATAGTTTATATGTCAATCTGTCTTCAAATTGTCCGAGAATGCCAATTATGCTTTAAGTTTCTATTTAGTGACTTCACTTGTCAGTTACTAAAAGTTTAAAACTTCTTTTTGGCTCAAACATTCAATGAATTCTTTTTCTAAGAACATGATGATGTTATTCAACAATCGAGACTCTATAAACGCTTATAAGAAAGAATGGATCCTAGAAATGAATACCATACTGGATCACAATAAGCAATGCAGGACCATATGAATGAAGTTTATCTGAGTAGAAGACCATGTGACCTCAATGCATCATAAGTTAAGCATGTACATCATTTCTCGATACAAACAAGTCAGGAATTCGCTCTTGAATTTATGAGAGATAGGTTGAATCTTGGGAAGCCTCTGCTTTCGAATGTCAGTGATCCGAATTATACCACAGGTTATATGGAACTGAAAGGAATTTTAGGCATTAGTCACGCAGGATCTGAAACTGGACCAGACATTTCCATGCTATCAATGATGGAGAAATATGCTAAACAGTTTAATAGAACGAACACGTCATTTATTGGCGACAGAAGCAATTACGGATCAATTTAATCGATACCAAGAATTTCATTGAATTAGGACAACAGGCAGTTTGTCCAAGGATAAGGCTCTTCTGAGAGTTACTATAACTCATCGACGATGATGAAATTTCTTTGCAGCTTCGGTGGTAGAATACTTCCGCAACCATCTGGTGGAAAACTAAGATATGTAGAAGGACAAACACGGATTCTTCTTCATTTAAGAAAGGACATATCTTATCACGAACTCATTCAGAAAGCGTGCATTTTTAGCATAAGAATCTGACCTCTCAAACCACTCAAGGAAAATGAGAAAGACCCGGTACAGTCAAATAAATTCCACTATAAAGACATTATATGATACATATGACTGTTCAACAATGAGACAAATTTCCAAAACAAAAATGAAATGTTAATCCTTAAAATAAATTCATGACACTCAATCTAAGAGTACATTCCAAAACAAAGCTTAAAACTTGACATTTATCTATCCAAAATTTAATAAATAAAGCTTGTCCATAATACATTATGGTTAACCATTGAAACAAAATAAAATCTTTATGGACAAAAATAGTAGACAGATTATAGTATTATTATTGTTGTTTCATCTTAAATACAAATTAATTTCAAGAAAAGATATCCACTTCCAAGAATTCCTGTGAGAAGTAATGAAATAGAAACAAACTTCACCAATATATAAACTACATGTTCTGTTAATTTGGGCAAGAAAAGGGTTAAAGCAATAAACTAATGTATTTGATTTGATTAGAAATGAAATGGTAAAATAGGAGGAGAAAAATTCAAACCTGAAAGGAAGATGTTTAAAAAAGTTTTGGTATTGTTTCTCTTGAATTTTGAACTTGCTGATACATCAAAAATGGAAGAATATAATTTATATATTGGTGAAATAGAAATTTTTTAACAATGCCTTAACTCAAAGAATAATGAAACGTACATAGAGTCACTTATCTTTATTCGGCGGTACCAGCGTTGTGATATAATTAAGGTTTTCTTTGGATTAACTGACCGCCTCTTAGAAAATTCACGGTTGGACAAAGCACTTTGACATTATCGCTTGCAGCGGCCCTCTGGCGATGGGGCGACCTATATGACACATTTGCTAGTCGAAGGTTTCGCTCGTATCAATGATCACCCTAAAGCATGAGAACCACATTATGTCAGACAAGTGAACATGTTAGCATTTTATAAGATTGAAAACAAACAAATGAAAAATTGATGCTTTTTGATACCTATTAGACAAGTTTCTACGATTATGTTTAAAGCAAATTATGTTCATTGTCTAGTATATTGAAGTCACGATATTCTGATTCAGCAATAATTTCAAATAGTGAAAGATATCCTTCACATAACTTAGAATTTTTTATGATATCCTGCAACATTTTTATGCCGCCTTCATTTGCAGCCATTTCCTCATCAAGCTCAAAAACAATTCTATGCATACATCACAAAAACCATCAAAGAGATTTTTAATAAACTTGATAGTGAAATCTTCTTAATCCCTGTGACTCCCTCTAGCTTTGTCACTTGAAAACATAAAGCTAAAAAGAGTCAAGCACATAGTTTCACTCCATACAACTGATTGTAACATACACCTATTATCACCCAGAGGAAAATTCATAAACATATTCAGAGCAATAGTACATAATCCAGGACTTAGATGATGTGCAATAATGTAACAAAATTGCTTCTTTTGAAGCAAATTATTGCAAGAGATACATACCTTCCTCACATACTATCAACAATACCATAACTTGTAGTAAAAAGAACTAACCATTCTTGCCATCATATATTTGACATTCCTTGGACCATAAACACGATTTTGTGATGGATTTTGAGCCTTTTATAAAAGGAACTTATGTCTGGTAAAGACAAACACCTCTCATTTCTCTAACTAATCTATGATATGGATTTACATTACTCTGATTACTGATTATGCCAAAATATCACCTATCACTAATAATATTAAATAATCT